CAAAGCATAATGTAAACAATAATAAAGGACAAATGACGAAAGAGATTCACAGTTCTACATAAATACTAACTGAAATTTGCTAGTGTGCATGTAAAAAAACCCTCTCACATACATACATATATACAGAATATACAGTTTAAAGATGCAAATAAATATGAATAATGATTATTTTGTGATGTATTGGTCAGATTATGTAATTGTTGCAAGTTTCACAATTACAAAGGCAGCAAAAAGACCCATTTTAATTCAACGCAATTGAATACAGTAGTAATATTGTTTAAAAATCATACATATAGGGGCTTATAGACAGGGTTTAGCCTAAACCAGGATTAAGCCATTGTTCAATTAGGACATTTAAGTAATTTTTATAAACATGCCTTAGAAAAAAGCATTACTGGTGTTCATCTTAAGACAAAACAAAGGCACTGACATGTTTTAAGATCAGTCAGTGCAAGTTTCTTTCAGTTGAAACAGCTTAGATTTACATTTTAGTCTAGGACTAGGCTTAAGCTTTGTCTGTGAAACCGGGGGATAATGTTTATTTTAATAGATTTTTCAAGAATTTCTTTTTTTACTGCTACCATGTTATTGTCGCAAGTTTACTATTACGAAAGCAGCAAAAATACCTGTTTAGAAATTAAACGAATACAGTGGAAATCCCAAATGACATCCCAAAACAATGCAGTGATGCATAACTGTACAGAATACAATAAACAATATGGGCCTGCCTGTTATAAATGGGGTTTACGGACCACCGACCTACTTTAAGACTCAGATTTATTCATCTTAAATCTACTCTGCTTTAATCTGTAATTATTTGCAGATTAATTCTAAGCAATATTAATCAAAAATGAAAATTTGAAAATATGCATGCAAATCCAATTATGCTTAGAGAATAATATTCTTGAAAAAGAGCTATTCAGAAAGAACACTGTAAAAAAGTGCACAATGACCAGAGCAACTGAAGACAGACAGAAAGAGAAAGAGGTGGCGAATGTATTTATACATACTGCTCTTTGGGGAAGGTGTATGAGGAGACGGGCCCGAGGGGTGTGGGGTATGTGAATATGGCTTTCTGGTTACCGTGCTGAGTGTAGGGGCTTTGGGGCAGGAAGGTCAGAGGAGGTTGAATGGGAGGAGAGTGTTGCTCCAGATAATCCTCTTTGTTACACGCCAAACGGTAACTCACGTAGTCTGCCGTGTTTGGGAGCTCATCGTAGAACCTCCCGGGGCTCTGTGGGAACAAAGATACAAGGTCAGATAGCAAGAACGAAGTAGGAGAGAATGAGCGCTGTGCATATTTAATGAGTGCGCTCCGGCACACGGCTGACACTGTCACCCTGATATTATGCATGCTGGTGCTGACACAATCAAGTTTGGACCTTTTTTCCAATTCAGAATACGTAAATGTTTCAAAAGTAGCAAAGTTCAAGGAAGTTATACGGAGTTATTGTTAAAACATACTCTGTGATAATTAACTATCAGGGAGAAAGTAACAGCATGTTTGTTCTCTTCTCCAGTAGGAGGCGCTCTCTGCTCACTGTGTCTATGAGGCCAGAGGCAATTCAGGTTTATCATGAAAGCCTCAGTACCTCTATTCAGGTCGGTAGTCAGACCATGGTGCATTAGTGCATCTTTTCATCCGATAAAATGGCCAGAGCCCTCACTGGTGATTCTGTGGCTTTACTGAGTGCTCTCTTACCTGGAAGTCATCAGCTGCCTTCTTTTTAGACGAGGAAGGCTTTTTGTGGGCAGAAGAAGAACTATCTCTGCAACAATAGAGAGGGAGAGATATAGGGTCTTAACTTCAACAATGCCATAAAAGAACTACAGGCTAGTTTTTTTTGTCCCAGAAATGTTACTAAAACACCACACCGTATCATTGAAAAAATTAACCTATAAGGTTAGTTATAACTAATATGGTTATATAATTTTAGCTTTGGCATAATTGTTTGTCCAATAATGTAAAATACTACGATGAGAATGTTAAAATTCATAAACAATATTACTTGGATATACATATATTATAACATTATATTTAATATATTTTTAGAATATTTAATATATCTTCATATTATATTATTATATGTAGTTATTATATTTATTTATATGTGTATAATACTAATACTGTAAAACCATAATATATAATATATACATTATATTAAATACACACACATATTAAATATTAGTTAAATAACATGTATTTATTAAAATAAATAAATAATATAAAATATAAAATGAATATTATTAAAATATTATACAGTATATACACTATGTACTGTAGATACACTATATATAGACTTACTTTTTTGTAATATTATAAATAATACATCTATTATGCATAAGCACATACAAATATGTATTTATTAAAATAAATAAATAAATACAAAATATTAAAATATTAAATGTTGATATATATATATATATATATATATATACACATATATACTTTTTATATTATAAAACATTGTCATATAAAAGCACATACGTATTTTTTAAATATTAGTTGAAATATATATTTTGACATTAATATGATTAATAATATGAAATAAAAATTAAATTCTAAAAATATTACATATAATGTTTTGTATAATTTAGTTAGGACAATAAGTGAGGTAAGAAAATATGCTTTGTAGACAGTTTAGTCAATGAGGCCTCAATAATGAAATCTCAGAATTTTATAGATGTATCCTTGCAAATGTAACATTTTAATGAGTTGAATACTTACGAGTCATTGTCTGACCCTGCATGTTTGTGCCGCTGCTGTTTGTTGATCAAATATATTGTGCCAGCTATACTGAGGATGATGCCCAGTGCAATCACCCATCCAAGGACACCCATCACCGTCTCTGCAGCGCTCAGTGGCTGGGGTTTCTCTGCAGGAAAAATATGTGTTGGGCATCTCCTTGCTAATTCCACCATATACACTATATAACACATCAAGTCATTGACTCAGTATTACTTATGTATTCAAATCTGACATGCCTCTGAAACATGTTTCCGCTCTAACATTAACGAGAATAGCTCTATTGTATGACCTATAGTCCTATTGTTTTGTGTTGATGAGAGAAAAAACCCACACATCCGGATCTCATGCCCTTCTTTTGTGCAAACTCCAACAACACCATACCAACAAATGGGGCTGCCATGGAAGGGATTCATGGGAGCTTTCCCTTAGGTCACTGTGTACATAAAACAACAATGATGTAAATGCCAGCTAGTGAAAAAGAGGATTTGTCGTGTGGTGCACTAATGGCTGTAAAAGAGATGTTAATGGCATAATGTGTGCACTCGAAACAGACAATACCCAACCTCAAATAAGTGACTGACACCACAAAGAATGTCCTGATCAGATTGAATTGCTCTGCTTGGAAAAAATGTTCTTATTCATTTATTGATTCTGATATATTAGAAGCAAAACATTATTCATAATCAGACGAGGACATTACAGGTACATTTTTATCTTGACTATCTTAACTGAATTAATTTATACATTTTTATTTATGTCAGCAGAGAAGACTTATTAACACTTGTAATTTCACAAATACAAATTACAGGAGTACAGCAAAAACACTATGTTGTTCTTGGCAGCATAATGAAGTTTAACTCATAAACGACACAAAAACACATCAAGAATTTCCTGAATGAATTACGCAATGTTAACAAATTTATGTTACTGAACCAACAGGGCAATTTCTATCATTATTGTGAAAATGACCTCTTTGCTGATTTCTAAAAGAAATTGAGAAATTAAAAAAAAAAAAAAACTCATAAATCTTTCCAATTAGCACAAAACACATTGTATTAGAAATTTTACAGCATATCATATGGAAGTACAGTACATTAGCTGAACACCACTTGCAAAAAAGACCAATGTAACATTCAACCAGTTTGTTCCTTGGTGTCATACAAATGAAATAATTTAGCATTTCAAAGCACTTATATAATACAATGTTTTTATAACATCTTAAATAACTTCAAATATCAAACAAGAACTCATATTGTAGATTGCAGCCATTGAGACATGCATTGAATCAATGACTCTTAAAAGCTACAGCCATATTTTAATTGTGTGATTGTTTATATACACATTTATATTCTTTATAGGTGGTATTTTACTACTGCAGTGCAGCTTTGTTGTACTGTATTATGGAACCTGTGATTACAGCAGCCAGAAATGCACTATTCTGTTTTAAAAAAAACTATATCTGACAAAACAAGGCAAAGTTTACATGAATCATGCACAAAATTATATACACAGTGTAAGATGTTCACAATTTATAGTTTATAGTGAAGTTTCAACTGCTCTTAAGTAAACACTATCCCGAGGCGAAAATTCTTTCTCAATACAACGGCACTGTCAAGACATGTATTATCTTCCAAATAAATGCCTAGTTTATGTTAGAGATAACTCTGTTGCAAAACCTAGTGAGTCAGCATCCTAAGCGTAATGGAAAATAACTGATATTGTTTATATACACATTTATATTCTTTATAGGTGGTATTTTACTACTGCAGTGTAGTTTTGTTGTACTGTATTATGGAACCTGTGATTACAGCAGCCAGAAATGCACTATTCTGTTTTTAAAAAAACTATATCTGACAAAACAAGGCAAAGTTTACATGAATCATGCACAAAATTATATACACAGTGTAAGATGTTCACAATTTATAGTTTATAGTGAAGTTTCAACTGCTCTTAAGTAAACACTATCCCGAGGCGAAAATTCTTTCTCAATACAACGGCACTGTCAAGACATGTATTATCTTCCAAATAAATGCCTAGTTTATGTTAGAGATAACTCTGTTGCAAAACCTAGTGAGTCAGCATCCTAAGCGTAATGGAAAATAACTGATTTAGGACACCAGCACAACCCCCCCCGTTATAAAAAAAAAAACAAGTGTGCTCCCCCAAAGTCCACGGTATAGTTCGAACACTGGTGTAGTAACCATGTTTTTTTTTTTTTTTGATGTATTGATTACTACTTGTATAACCACAGTTTTTGCCTACTACAAATACCATGGTTAAACTATGGTTAGTATAGTAAAACCATGGTTAATTTTTGGTAAGAGGTAAGGAAGAACACAAATCACTATTGATTTCAATAGAGTTTGAAGTTAGCCTGATGCTAAGCTCACAGCACAATACGCATATACATACGCAAATATTTTGTAAAATAATTACATTTAAATATGTATATCGCTATTTTTAAATATAAGAAATATAACTTAGAATTGCATAATAAACCTCTTCATCTCATTCTATGTGAGAGATTGTAATGCTGATTTAGAATTTGGCTAAAATGAGGGATTTTAAGAGGCTGCATAATTATGCAAATATCGATGCATAATTACGTTGGCTACTGTAAACAACTCGCTAGGTTTTGAAACAGAGTAATTTTATTAGGCAAAGTCAACAACATGGCCAATCACTGGTCCATCTCCAAACATCTATCATCCGTTTGGATTTTCATGTCAACAATGTCCTCTGGTGAATCGAATCCATTGTCAGTTTGGATCCCAAAGCCTGCTTCAAAAGGAAGGAGATGACAATGAACGAGAAGATGCTGAGAGGCCCATGCGGAGAAGCTCAAAGTCTTGAGTCCTACACATACCACTCTTCTTTCGAGATGACAGAACCGTCCATCTGAGGAATCATGTCCACTGAGACCTCCACCTCAGATCCGTAATCATAAATGTAAGTCTGCTCACTATGTCCGCATCTCTCATGGTCCTCGACCAGTCCCATGTGGTAGGCCTTGATCTTGCTGTCATTGCAGTTGTGGAACTCCTGAACACTTCTTCCTAAGATACTGGAGCCTCTGTAAAGTTCCAGCTTCTTCTCTTCATCTGAGTCTTCGGAGAAGGTCAGACTGTGAGGTAATGAGGGGTGTGACGGCACGCTGCCAGCCTTGCTGTAACCATTTCCAAGGATTTGCTTCTTGGTACTGTAATCTCCTTTAAACATGCATCTCCGGCGATATAAAAACACTACCAGGAGCGTAATGGCGGCCAACAGCACTGTGCCACAAACAACAGCTCCACCAATGATGGCAAAAGCTTGCTGTGTCTCCTGAGACACCTCGTGTGGATAGCTAGGGAATTCTGGGTAAGGAAAGAGATCACCTCAATTACCAAAAGGAGAATGAAGTTGTTAAAGACCTTGTGCGCAGTGTTGGAGCATTTCCGTTTGAAACAGGAAGTGGGGTCATACCAAAGGGCTTGTATCTATATATTAAACAAGCCATAGGCTGTTAGACAACCATTCAAAAGTTTGGGGATGGAAAGATTTTTTTATTATTTTGGAAAAAAAATCTCGTGCTCACCAAGGCTGCATTTATTTGATAAAAATACAGTAAAAACTGTAATATTGTGAAATATTACTACAATTTAAAATATTGTAAAATCAAATTTATTCTTTTGATGACAAAAGTGAATTTTCAGCAGCCATTATATAGTCTTCAGCATCACATGATCTTTCAGAAATCCTTCAGAAATCTTTCTGATATGCTGATTTGGTACTTAGAAACAATTCTTGAAATGTTGAAAATGGTTGTGTTGCTTAATATTTTTGACAATTTGTGACACTTTTTTTCAGTGGAAAGTATTATTTGAAATAGAAATCGTTTGCAACATTATATAAGTCTTTACTGTAACTTGTGATCAATTTAATCTCGATGAATAAAAGTATTAATTTCTTTTAAACAAAACAAAACAAAAACTCACAGAGCCCAAACCTTTGAATGGCAAATGTACTAAAAGCTAAAAAAAAAATCATAAACTTTTTGGAGTACACTAGCATAATGGACAATGACTAAAAGTCACAGAGCATTTAGTCATTGTCAGAGAATTTTGATTTCACAAGGTCTTTAAAAAAGCAACATGGGTAGAAAGAGGAAGTTGAAATAGGAAGTCTTTTAATTTTTTTGTATGTCTTCCCCATGGAATTAAATCCCAGGTGCCATCACTATGCTAGAGACTGAACCATGCAGCAGGCCAGAACCACACATACATGTACACACAAGTAAATGTAAGTATGCAGTTTCTATAGACCACACCTTATGCTCGCAGCATGCAAAGAGAAAAATATGACTCAAGAGATCCTCATAGACAAAGGTTCATTCAGGAGCCACATGCAGAGAACTTGCAGCCACATGCAAAGTGCTGCGCCAGCAAGCAAGTTAATCAAAGCAAAACACCTGAGGGCTGAAGAAAAAAAATACAGGAAGGAGACAAGCATCCACATTTCAGGCAGTGAGCATCTACATTGTTTACTGACAAAACGATGGCATGATCATGGCTATTAGGTGATGTTTCAGAGGCAGTCGAGAGTAAGTTTAGGGCAAAAGACAAAAAAATTCACATGCATATCCACATGCACAGAAGCAGTTAAGCCACATGCTTTCACAGTCGAGTAGGAAGTGTAAACAACACACCTGTGACAATGACCTCAACGGACGCAGAGCCTGTCCCAATGCTGTTGCTAGCGTCACAGATGTATGTGCCTGCGATGTCATAGGTTACAGGACCTTTAAAGATCAGCACATCGTCACGAAGCTCTGCTGTACTCGGCATAGTTCCATTCAAGCTAGAGAGAGAAAAGGCTCATCAGGTCATGCACGAGAATTCACTTAAAGGAGACATATTATGCTTCTTTTTACAATATGTAATACAAGTCTCTGGTGTCCCCAGAATGTGTCTGTGAAGTTTCAGCTCAAAATACTCCACAGATCATTTATTATATCATTTTGAAAATGCCTATTTTGAGTGGAAGCAGAAACACACTGTTTTTCGGGCCTGTCTCTTCAAATGCAAATGAGCTGCTGCTCCCTGCCCCCTTTTCCATCCAGAATAGATCTGCGCCATTAATCAGAACCAAAACTGCGCCATCTGTTTTGGTTCTGATTATCATATTTATCGTGCTTAAATCATGCATTTTAAACCATATGAGTTTAAACTTCTGAAATACCTTTTCTGAGTGCACACATCCGAAGCACACGGACAGAAAGCGGCTGTCACAGCATGTGAGTACTAAACTAAGTTCTCATTCACCCACAAGTTTACGTTAAAAACACACACGAGTTACAAAAACAGTCGGTTATGTCTGTGAAGGTAAACTGCTGGGAAATAAATTGCATGTTTATTTTAGATCTGTGGCAGCAGCAATATACAGTAAATAAATCAATAAATCCACTGCTCTCTTGTCTCCTCTGAGGCTGAGACTCTAAATAGTGTTCTGTGCTCGTCTGTGCAGCCAAAGGCAGAACAGTTAGCATGTTTTGCTCAAACTTTCGCCATTGGCATTAGAGCTGGTACAGCGTTGTCGCTTGCAAAATCAAAATGACGGCGCCGTGGGTGGAAACTTACAGATTAAGGGGCGGTAATGTTATAATGAGAACCCTTTGCCACGTCACAAGGGCAGCGAAATCTGACGCGCTCATTTTCTCAGACGCTTGTAGAAAAAGGCTTACCTTAACAGTTACTGTGTTAATCTTTTTCACGTTTCCTTGGTTGGTAGATGCACCGGGGACCTGATTATAGCACTTAAAATCTGGAAATCTGGAAATTTCATGATATGTCACCTTTAAATTAAAACTGAAAGAACTGTGACTGAAAGAAGCATAAATGTTTTTAATTTTTTAATAGAGTGTTCTGGAATTAATATTGAAAAGTGAAATTACATTTGTATCAGACTGTAATTTTGGCTTGACCCTCAATAACTGTGTTTATAGTAATTCACTTACAATGAAAGTCTATGGGCCAAAGCATTGTACCAGGGTAAATGTTACAAAACCACACATGTATAGCCAGAAAGTATAGCCATTAGACTTGAAGAATCAAGATAAGCAGATCTAACAAAAATATGAGATGCAAATGCCTTGCCCCATGGACCTCCATTTTAAGCGCATTGCAAACAGAGCTGAAATGAATTTCTGTGGCAATCAACACATTTCTTTGGCATTGATATAATATATAATATTCAGTTGTTTAGGCTATGGTATATTTTGAGATCATCATCCATTTCAAAGTATTTTAACTGAGCATAAATAAATATGTGCAAAATGTCATAAAATGACATACTATCTCCACTGAAACAATGAGATGGGTGGATTGGCATCAGCCAAGCAGGTGAGCTGAACGTTTTCTCTGTTCAAATACCAGTTCCCATCGAAGCCTTCTATTATCACCTCTGGTTCATCTGTAAACAAGGAGAAAAGAGAGCACAAATTTATTTCAGAACTTTTCTTTTTTTTTATTTCCTTCAATGGACATTTAATAAAATTGACTTTAACAATAATGAATATTTAGAATAAAATTATTTTAATCCATAACCCATGAGGATATATTTAAAAATACATTTTAAACTAAAAGTTAAACTGCAATTACTATTAAGCTCAAATGAAAAAAACATTATAGTATAATAAGTACTGTTTTATTAAGTACTACTATTGAAATTAAATAATGAAATAAATTTAAAAAATTTAAAGCAACTTGTAATAAATTAAAAATAGTGTGGGGTTAGTAAGATTTCTAAATGTTTTGAAAGAAGTCTCTTATTATTACAATTTAAAGTAACTGTTTTCTATTTAAATTCATTTTAAAATGTAATTGATTCCTGTGACGACAAAGCTGAATTTTCAGCTGCCACTTCAGTCTTCAGTGTCCTTCACGATCCTTCAGAAATCATTCTAATATGCTGATTTGATGCTCAAGAAAAATGTCTTATTATTATCAATGTTGAAATCAGTTATTTATGCATATTTTTATGGAACCCGAGAGACTTTTTTCATTATTTTATTTATGAATAGAAAGTTCAAAAGAACAGCATTTATTTGAAATATAATTTATTTGGAACAATCTAAATGTCTTTTTTGTCACTTTTGATTAATTTAATGCATCCCTGCTGAATAAGTATTTTTTTTTATCTTACTGACCCCAAACTTTTGAACAGAAGTATAGCTGGTTTCTTACACTGAATGTTGAGTGTTACACTGTCTGTGTATTGTTCGTCATTATATGTGGAGACGCAGGTGAGCAGCTGTTGGTGTATTTCTCGACTGGGAACCACCAAGTAATCACTGCGCACTGTGACAGTCCCATCAGGGTTGCGTATCTCCTGGGTGTTGGATTCTCCATTTAAATCAGTT